TATATATATATATATATATATATATATATATATATATACCCTTTCTTAATGCAAAGATGAAAATGAAGTTGTAATCCCTTTTTCCTTATCATTCGCATTTCCAGCGCAAAATCAGAAATCTATGAATCTATGAAGTTTGGAAACATAATCACTAACTAGATACGCAGATGCAAGCATTTCTTACGTCTGTGTTTCCATTTGACAGATAGTGCCGCCGTCAATTTCGCTGAACGAATGTTCCACCGTCGATTTGCCGCATTTCTCCGATTCATCGTCGGAAACGTCACTGTCCTCCGCGTTTCCTTTCAATGTCTTTTCACTTTCTTCGTGCATCATCGTATTCATTTCGGCGATGAAATCTGCAGCGGTCCTCTCACTTTCTTTGCCAGCAGTCGTTTCTGTCCTCTGCTGTTTGTCGTCTGTGTTTCCTGCAATCTTATTGTCGCCTTCACCTTCGCTCACGCTCGATCCCTCCGATCCCTCCGATTTCGTTGCCTCGATTTCTTCCAAACGATCTGTCGTTTTCCCTGTTAACTCTTCGACACTGTCCGACGATTTGTACAAAGGACATTTCGAGGTTTCGTACAACGACCTCTCGGTATCGGAATTCTCTTCCTTGAAAGGCTTCTCCACTTTGTCCGGAGATTTCATCTTCCTCGTATCGTTGCTCGCTGTTCTCGTCTTCTTCGGCTTTTTGTCGATTCGCACCGCGTTGGTCCCCGTCCTCCTCGTTTGTTCCGACTCGTCTTTCTTCCTGTTGACAAGCGTTATGGAGGGAGGAAACGACGAAGCAGTAATAATGATTAATCAAAAGCGAGGCGTTTGTCTTTGTCGAGAAATAAAGCTTACGCTTTCGTGGGCGTTTGGCACCACGTCTCGATCTTCTTGGGCGTGACGCAGTAAGAGGCGAGGGTCAGCTTGGTGATTGTTCCCGAGACTGATGTTAGTTTCGGATCTTGCACTTCGTGCTTGGCGCCTTTGAAGAAAGCAACTTGGTTTAGTAAATATTCATTTCGTTTTGTAATAAAGGGCGGGCCAATAATCACTTCCTACCGAAATAAATCCGTAATTTTATTAATTTGCGAAGGTTTCGTGCCGGTCAACGTTTGAAAGGAATAATTTTCAAAACTGTACGAACTTAGATTTAACTTCAAATTAACAAAGTTAGCTTTTTCCTTTTATATTTTGGTGTTTTATTAAGAAAAAAAAAAAAAGAAAAATAAAAATAAATAGACGGGAAGAAACTTTGGACGCATTCTATAGAAATTAAATGTCAACATCGCTGTACGGCACATCCAATACATCGTTCTCGCTTATAAAAAATAATTACTTTTCCATTCGTGATATGAAACGTTTTGTAGTAATAAAATCGGTGAATAATTCTACTGTTTTTTTGACACTAAGAAAAGTCACGCGTTTGACGTTAAATGAACGCGTGCGCTCGCAACCTGATTCAGGCGAGTTATTTTCTCACTCGTCAACGAGTCGCAGGGTCTCTTGTCTACTCGCTGCTCCTTCGCCGTATCGTTGTCTTGTTTCAATTGCTCCAACCGCTGTGTTTGCTGCTGCTGCGACATTTGAATTATACCTGTGACACACCTACACCTAACAAAACGTTCGAGGGAAATGAAATTACGATCTACGAAAGAAGTGACATCTCACTCGTGATATTTCGTGGCGGGATTCCAACTGTTTCGCTGTCCAATTACGAGAAGCTTGAAGCTTGAAGCTTAAAAAATGAGTGCTTTCTCAGCACGTTTGACAACTAAACAGTGAGATCATTCTTCTCTCCGCTCGTGCAGACTAAACAACGAAAGAGTCGGGAGTACAGGACGACTAACCCTTAATATACTAACCCTGGACAGCACGTCGAGCCTCGAAGGAGCTGCACAAACGCAGGACAAGGCAACTGTTGAATCGTAGACTGAGGGGCCACGATCGAGGGACTTGCCGAGAGTTCTATAGCTCGTTTGCATAGCTCGCATCTGCTCACCGTTTGCGCGGGCACCTCTTTCACTTCCAGCCGAGTCTGGCAAAATGTTCGTAGCTATTAGAGCGGCAGCAATTATCCAATCGCCCCGAGAAATTCTATCGTTCAAACTATTCGATTATTCGAAATATCTGCGATCTACAGCTCGCGTCTACAGTACGCTAATTACTTGGCACTTTCTGCTCAACGTTTGCTTGTAATCCGTTTGAACGTCGGCAACGTCCACGTCGCACAACCTCCGAGCACTGATCGGACAATCGACGTACTGTCGCCGATGTCCCACGCTGATCTTTCTCTGGCTGTGATCGGCCACCGCGTCCTCTTCGTCGCTGGGCATCTTGACGCTGCTGACGCTGGTCGTCAGGTCATGTTTGACCGTCTAGATTGCAGAGAGACACCTTAAAAGAAACGTGACACTCCAGGAACATAGATTGCTTGCGCGAGCTAATGAATCAATGTCACGCAGACAAAATGTACG